TAATATTTGTGAATATATATATATGTAAATATATATACATATTATATATATATATATATATATATATATATATTTATTTATTTGAAACATACATGTGTATACATAAATATTACTTTTTTACAAATATATAAATACATATACACTTGAATACCACACCTAAACATTGAAAAAAAAAATTACATTGATTGAACTTGGTCCTCAATGAATGTGCCGAAATAAAATAGATAAGTACAATATAGATTAACACAAAACAAGCAGTTGATGAGAATTCATAAATGTGTTTGTGTAGTTATTTGTGAGAAGATTTGTAATAAAAGATGGAAGACATTAACATACATCCATAGTGAATAATTCATAAATGTCTATATCAAACTAACTACTATTGACAATTATTAGTTTAGTAGTAGAAATTGATTACAAACAGAAAATTTATCATATATAATTCGTAACTGAGCAGTGAATTTAAAAACATAAACATGGACAAATAAATACAAATATTTAAAGTTTCAGATTTACTTCTTTCTAAATGATTCTGAAAATATTCAAAATAGGTAGATAAACTATGTCCAGCAGTGACTATTATTCAAATTATATTTTCAAAGATTGCAATATATTTTACTTACTTTGGTATTAACACATAACATTATTATAAAAATATATTAACCAGAATTATTATACTGTTAGTACTTTAACTAAGGGTTTACATTACTTGTTTTTGTAATAAAAATAGTTTTTGCATAAACATTTCAAAATTTGTATAAAATTCAATACTGTAGATTATTTCTAGTATTTACAATGAAACATAATTGAATACAGTATCAATTAAAATCAAATAATTGAATAACAATTACAAGAAAACTTGTGGAATGTAAAACTTTGAGAAATTAAAATTAAAATTTTATTTTATTTTTTAATCCTTACAAAAAATATATAGAATTATTTTGACATTCATAATATAGCAATTACACACACACAAACATACAAAAAAAAAAAATCAAGCACACACACATATAAATATATATATGCAGGTGTGTTTTGAAAATGTCTTTCATTAAAAAATGATTTCATTAAAAGAAAATGTCTTCAGCTACTAAGAAACATCAGCCTAAATTTGAAATGAGAAAGTGAAAAATAAATATTTATGAAGATCTTAAATCAGTACTTTACTATCAAAAAAATTTCAAAAACTCTTGCCAGTATGAAGTATAAAGCAATCAATTAGCTATTACAGATTTCAATTTATTTATTTGTACGTTTAGCCTTTTAATTCATGATGATATACAAAAATCCAAAAATAATACCATAAATATATTAAAGTTGTAGTAATTAGCAGAAATTTCTTTTTTTTTAATAACAAAAAATATTTTTTTCATTACTGAAGAAAAGATATAAGATAAAAAAAAAAAAATGAATAGTATAAAAATACCACAAGCATCATTAATAAGCATGACAAGTTAATAAATTAACTCCATAAACATTAGCTCTCAAATGGAAGATTTATTAGTTTTAAGTTGTAAATGAGGATCTGTAAGAATAACAATGTGAAAAACTAAGAAGTGTATAAACAAATCTTGATAATTAGAGTCTAATTATATACTTCTTTAAAATATACCCACAACTTGGTAGTTTATGCGATATATGATTTAATATTTTTTAATATTTAAGTTAAATTGCAAAATAGTATTTTACATTTATTTACGAAGGAAAAAATACATAAAATTTTCTCTAGCATAGAATCTTGAGAAAGAGGATTTTCACAGGTATTATTTTCTTTTTAATATGTTTTAATGGCAAATATTATAATTTTTCCTAATCGAATTCGGTAATTAATGATAATAATCTGATAAAAAAAAGTAGTTAGCTAAATTTCTTTTATATCTTGTTCAAGACAATAAGATGAAGAACAATCTTAAAATTGTCATTATATAACTGGACATAGTTAAAATATAATTTATTCAATATAGTTTATTTATTGAAAATAATATTTTGGGGACCAAAACCAATTCACACAAAGAGCAGTGATGAAACTATCAATAAATACAATAGTAAGATATCTGTAACAATTTTATTCTCATTCTAATATTTAAAAATATACAAAATTGTTTATAAATCATAAGTAATAAATAATTCATAAAAGAAAACAATGTTTGTATTAGTAGAAATAATATATATATATATATATATATATATATATATATATATATATATACACATTTATAAAGTGATAAAAAATTCATACTAGACTTTGGACTTTAAAGAGAGAGACTCAGTAATTTAAGTACACTATATATACAAAAGCACAAACAAGAGGAACTAGGATAAATTATATTAAAATGCATAAAAAAATATGGCATTATGAAATAAATTTCAAATATACAAAATAAATCACTCCAATAAATAATGGAGGCTAACCTTTGTTATAGCATTTGGAATTGTGTTAAATGTAATGAAAATTTGAATTATTCTATAAAATGGCACAGTAAATAAGTGGACGGATTAAAAAACACATTGGGTTAATCCCTTGTATAGTCTTCTGTTACTTACAATTAACTTTATCATGACAAAATTTTAACACTTTGTTTCTTGAATGCATTAATAATAGGGGTAAAATTTATGAAAATTTGATCCTCCTTAACTTTTTTTATAAAAAAACTCTAAAATTCATACATAAAATAAATAGATTCTTATTGGAGTCAAAGAAGAAATACTTCTCTATTTTTATTTATTTTTTTTAACAATAAACACAATCATCATGAGAATTTATCGATGAAATCTTAAATTGCAACTTTGAGACAAATAGAATGAATTACAGATTACTTGTGCCATGTGAAAAAAAAATTAATAAATAAAAAACAATAATTGTGATTGTCATTGTATCAAAAAATCTTACTTCATATATGAATTTCATTTATAAATAGTATTTATATTCCAATAAAGATTATCACACACATATATATATATTGAATATTAATATCATTTTCATTTCTAGGTCATTCATGTATTAATTGTAAAGCAAACATTTGACAAAACCGTTTTCACTATTTTCTAGTCATATTTAAGTATGCAAGGTTGCCCAAAAACATTCTGGGATTCAATGAAAAAGATTAGTATAGCAAGTTGTTTGTAGTGTATTACATCATTACAATAAATAGTAATTGATTATACTAATAAATACAAAATAAATAAATAAAAACAAAGATAAATGGTTAGCCTCCATTCCTTTCAGTATTAAATTTATATAATAAATTGTTTATTTACAATTACACAAATTTATCCATAATTAGTAAATGATTTTCAATTGTGTGATAACTGGTAACAAGCTCAGCCTTTTATTATTCTAGTAGAAATAAAGATAAGGCTTTTTCATTGCATTAGAAAAACCACTTACAACATTAAATAAAATTAAAAATACAAAGAATTATAAAATTTATAATTACGCTTGCCTAAAAACAGAATATCAGTTCACAATACATACATATATGTGTATTGATATTAACAGTGAGTAACAATATTCATGCAGACACACATGGAAACATCGAAGATAAGGTACAATTATAAAGAAATTAAAGACTATCAAGTTAAATCTATGATGTTGATACAATACACATATAAGTATTAAATTACAATAAATTATACATTAATATCAATAATTAGTATATTGTCAAAACACATATGCGGTCATGGAATGGTCTGAAAATGAGCAAGATTAGGAAGGAAATAAAGAAATGAGTAGAGTTCAATATAAATGCTCACTAAATAGAAGTATTATTGCTATAATTACAAATTAGCAACAGCACAATAGAAGAAATTTACATCACATTACAAATGTAATTGATTGGAGTATCAAGGCAAACTTTAATGATAACAATAAGGAGGTGGTATCACATAGGGTTTTGCAAGGGTACAACAATTACACAACAATAAAACACATAGTATATAAGATCAATTCCCAATTATTATCTCAGTCAATTGACATACATAAAGAACCCACATGACATAAATTTCACTTTCCATAAATTAAGTTGTACAGTTTGCTTATTTAATTATAAAATATACAAACATACTAATATACACAATTGTCTGCATACATTTTACCACACGATTGGAAAAATACAAACAAAAATAGACATGGTAAAGTAACAAAATATGTATTTACATTAATAAGGACATTAACAGTACCTCAATACTACAAGGAGAAAATAAATACAATAATTACATAATTCTTACATACACCCACATACACATTAGTGATATATTTTTATATCGCATTTATGTATACAATAACACAGACAATTAGCTTATTTTTGTTCACATGTTTAATAAAAAGCTCAACTTTTTTACATTGAAACATACATATACTCTGTGTTATTATGCATGTGTGCGCATAGGATAAAGCATAAACAGCATAAGACATAATCTTATGCATATGCTATAATCATCCATTATTCAAAATCTCAATTTAATTACAATTTTTGGAACTGTAATTGTTATCAAGGCATAAGCAAATTGTACAACAAATACATTAAAAAGATATTTCGATATGGTTGTTCAAGCACACAATAAACAACATCAATTTACAACAGGAAAATACAAAACAGTCAACAGTTAAGTACATATATAAAATACGATAGGGAAAGTGTCACAACCAGGTAATGATAAATATTTGTTTTTAAATGTCCTTCACATTATCTCAGCCAACAATGAGATGTAATGTTATAATTTAATCTGTGATAACAGTCTGTCAATATGGAATTTCCATTAAAAAAATATCCCATGCGGCATGAGTCTTTTCCAGGAATGAGATATGTTATAAAGTTGCTTTTCTATGCCAAAAATAAAAGTTTACAAATTCTCAGACTTATAGTGCGATGGTCTATGGTCAATTTACACCACTGTTCACACTCACTAAAATTCAGTAGAATCTCTACTGAGGCACTTCTGGAAATTCCTGTTCCTACTGACGATTGAGCAAACTAGTCACAAAAATTAACTGCCTTATTTTATGGATGAGAGTCTGGTATCATTAAATTATGAACTTGCTCCAATTTATAGGCTAGTCTTTGTTTTTGTGAAAACTCATCTTCTTCAAGAGTGACTGTTAGTTGTTCATTATATTTCATTGCATATGTGTACAGTTCATACAGTGCACAGTTAGTATTAAATTCTGAGGAATGCAACTGTAACAGAAAAATAATACATATATTAATATTTGATTTAATTTTATTCCACAGTACTTTACATGGAAATCATGAATTCTTCAGTCATTTCATGCATAATATTTTATAGTTCATGAATATAGCACTAATATTAATAAAAATATAATGGCTGAACAATTAATACACTCAATTTTGATATTGTAATGAAAATTAATTTAGTAATTCAATTAAGATTATTTATTTATTATTAACACTCCATAGATTTAAATAAGACCCCTAATGATTAAAACATAACAGAACTCTAATGAAATATAGTGAAGAACTCCAAATTAAGATAGTGTAAAACATGATATAAAATAACATAATAGTTTTAAGTTAAATTACCCTTGATTCTTCAGCAAGCATTGCTCCCATGTCTTGATCTGATATTGCTGGCATAGCTTTAATATCAGCATAATACCTTTCAACCCACTCTTTATAAACTGGAATGTCCTTAGCATAAAGAAGTTTGGAACTAGGAGAGTCTTTACCTATAAACAAAAAATTAGAACCCATAAATTATTTCAAGTGCTCTGATATAAATAAAGGTAAACTAAAAAAAATAATAATAAAAATAAAATTAATTATTATTGTATGGAACAGTAAAAAGAAAACAAGATAATTGATACATACAATATTATATAAAATACTTATACAAAATAAAAACATTTACCAAGTCGGTGGTCAGAAGTTGAACAGGAATCCATGAATGTCTGAGCAACTACTGATAAACAAGAATCAACAATATTTGATTTATGTATATCAAAGACAAAATTTGGGTTCTTTATTAAATTTACCCAAAACCTTAAAGGAAGGCTGAAACAGAAAATATAAAAATCTTTATTTTCACGAAAAACTTCAATGGTTAATAAGATTTAATCATTGTTTATTATTCGATCATTGCTTATAGGTATACAATAAAATATATTTTAAAAAATTAATACAAATTTTAATGTAAAAATAGTCATGAATTAAAAAAAAAAATCCAAGTTTAATTCCACACAAAATCCTTAAAAATTATTAATGATGGTTAATAAGAGACTTATTTTATCATAATGAAGATGTAGAATTGGGTCCTGAATGTTTCTGGTTATTATCTGGTACACCTTTTAAATATTTGATTAATTATGAATTAATTTGAAGATGAATATATAGTTGACTGTTGAAATTGTAAGGATAAAAAATAGTCAGGACATGCAGTCATTAATCATTATTAAGTTTGTGGATGGTTTAACCTACATGATTGGGTAAAAATGTCTACAAACCTTATAAATTATGAATTCATTTTTATTTTAGTGAGGAATACAATTAAATAGAATAATTAATTAAAAGTCATAAGTAAATAATTGAAAGTTTTAATTGTTTAGTTTAAAAAAAAAAAGTATAAATAATAATCAATTAATCATACTAAAAATTCTTATGAAGTACTAAAATAGAAATGATCTATAAACTAATTCCTATAAAACAAAATTCTAAACTGATTTAATTTAACAAAAACTTTACCATTGGATGAAGAGCATTAATTGAATAGATGGTGTCAGGTGGATAAAGGTGGGAAGTCATGTTTGTGGAAAAATTGAATTATTAAAATTATGATCAATAAAAATTTAATTAATTAAAGATGCAAAATTATTTATTTTAAATAATTTATCTTCTCATTCACATAAGTTCAATAGTTGGTCTAGAACTGAGTTCATAAAGGTGACAGCTGCAGATACACACCTGCCTCTCTAGTGGATAAGGTGATTTGAGTGGGTGTAGTATTTTACCATTTCAATGATAAAATTATTAAACTAAATATAAAATTGTACCTGTTACTTTTCCAAGTATGAACTACTTCTGGATCAGTAATTCCATGTTGTAAAGCTTGGTCATCAAGGAAATCAAACATATATTTAATTGCTAAAGGCAATGCACTCCCTCTGTGTGCTGTACTAAAGATTGTCTCAAAGAGATCATCAACAAACTTTTGAAGTGTACCCTGAAAAAAAATAATTTTTTAATAATAAATTAACATTGATTGGTGACTGTACTTGTTTAAAAACTCTTTAATAAAACTCTGCAATGAATTTAGTTTAAAAAACTAAATTTGTAAAATAAATGTGTCAATTGATAAATTGATGTCTGCATAAAGATAAATTTTAGCAAAGACCGATGTATCAGCCTAATCTAATGACATTATTTTTTAGTAAAGGTAGAGTTTTCAAATTTTTATTTATTTATTTTTTCTGTCCCTTCTCTATACCTAATTTGGGCAGATACCGATATGACAAAGACCAATATATCGACCATACAACCATATTTTATCGAGATTCTAAGAATTTCACTTTGAGTATTACTTTTATTCCTAATAAATACGTCAATCAACGGGTCTGTATAAACATAAATTTGTGTAAAGATCGATATATCAACCTCTTTTACTTTGAATATTATTTTTATTGCTAATATTATAATAAATATAAAAAATAAATCATTCATCAAGAGATCAGCATAAAAATAAATTTTAGCAAAGACCGATGTATCCATCTTTACTCACATTTATGTTAATATCGATTCCATTGATTGGCCCATTTATTATCAATATATATAATATTCCAAGTGAAAATCTATAAATCATGACAAAATAATGTCGTAAGGCCCATATATCAGTCCAATGAGGGGATTAAAAAAATCTAGTAAAAGAGAAGCACAAAAAAACATAGTTTAAAATCTACCAATTTTGATTAAAATATGGTTGTGAGGCCGATATATCGGTCTTTACTCACTTATATGTTTATATCGATTCCATGGCTATTAATTGGTCTATTTATTAAAAGGAATTATCTAACTACTAATCTCGATAAAATTAAATCTTATGGCTGATACGTCGGTCTTTACTCACATTTATGTTTATATTGATTCCATGGCGATTGATTGGCCCATTTATTATCATTATAAATAATATTCCAAGTGAAACTTAATGAATCATTATAAAATAAGGTCAAAAGGCCGATATACAGGGTGTTTCGGGGTCAAGTGGCCAAACTGAAAATATTAATTAAGGACCTCAAAACAAGAAAAAAAATTACTATGAAAATATGTCTGCAAACGCTTTGTTTAGGAGATATTCACACCTAAAGATTTTCATTGTTATGAATTATTTATGTTATATTAAGTAAATAAAACGTATTTATTTGTCCCAACTACTTTAATTAAACGTTAACATTAAATTCATATTAAATGTTGGTTAAAGTGATTTCCTTGAGCATTAAGAAAGGCTCGGCATCTTGAAATATGAATCATGATAAAATAATGTCATAAGGCCGATATACTGGTGTTTAGAATATCGATATCTGTTCAAATTTTGGGGAAAAGAGGATAGAAAAAAAATTATAATATAAATAAATTTTAAAAAATGGTCTAACTGTACCAATCTAAGTAAAATGAATCATCAGGCCAATATATCTTGGCAATTACGAGAATTTTTTATGAGACATACTGAACTAGAAATATAGAAATGAATGGTCGATATACTGAAATATAGCTATATCGGTTAACATTTGTGTACAGGCCGTGCCCAGAATGGGGTTTCACGGCTCAAGTCTACAGTAATGTTAAGTCCCTCTCATATCTCAATATATTATATATGTACCCTTGAGTGTACTTCTAATTTAATTAAGTTATCATAATCAAATATAAGTTTTATCTTCGATTTGTTTTTCATCTCATTTTTAATTCTTTAGGGATGTTTAATCCATTTTTTTATAATTCAAAAGTACTCAATCTGTAGTAAAAGTATAAAGAAAGACAAGTAATAATTTCCACAAGATTTGTAAGTTTATTCAATCAAATTAGTAAAATAATTGACATGTTGCATATTAAAATGATAATAACTTAAGAAAAATCTTTTCATAAAGATAAAACATAAAAATAAATTACCTTTGTAGCTAAAAGCCTGGTAAGGTAGATTTCAGAAACCATTTTGTTTCCCCTTTCACCTTCTTTCTGAGCATCAGAATCATGGTGTTTAACAAGATGCCAGACCTGAAAATTCACAATTTGAGTAGTGCAGGTAACATTATTAACAGTTTTTTTGGAATGAAAGCTCTCTAATAACGGTACTATAAATGGTCTCAGATAAAAGCTTATGTTATACTGCTTGTACTGCCACTTCATCAAATTTTTAATCAGTTTTAAAATGTGTTGTTGGTATTTTAAACAATTTAGCAAAACTATATTTAAAGGATCATCCAATATTTATGTAACCATAAAATAAAAATAGTTTGTCTAACAGTATTCTAGATTAGATCAAAATTATATTATAACACTAACCTTAAGTCCTCCATCTTGATCATTATTTAGGGGAGAAGTCGCTCTGCTTAAAGGTGGACTAGCTGAGCTAAATTTTGATAAGTTCAAAGTTTCATATTTATGTGATTTTTCTGTCTTCTCAGACAATATGGATAAATTATAAATAGACGACTGCTTAGAGACTAGATTAAGATATGCCATATCAGGTACCTAAAATTTTAACAAAATATAGTTTCTGTAACTAATGACAAATAATTATATTATTAAACATTTAAAAAAAAAAATACATACACGATAATGATTAAGAGTATTTCTTTTCTTCCATTCCCCTTCTGTTTTAGTTGTACTATCTTCATCATACAGAATTAACCTGCCAGAAGTACCCGTTCTCCATTCTATAGTTAAAATTAAATGAAAAATTATTTACACTTACTAAAACTAATCAAATTATTTTTTAAACTAAAAACCAATAAGATCATAATTCATATAAGAAAAAAATAGAAGAAACTACTGAGCGAGGATTATCAGAAATAAAAATTCAGCTTCATAATCTATTCACTGAGGAGTGGGTATTAAAAAAAATATAGAATGTTCGGTTGATAATATACAAATTTTTTTTGTTTTAAAATTTCTGAACTATTAAGCAGATCGCTTTCATAACCAAGGGATTACTAGTACATTATAAGATATTGAAAGAGATTTCAGTAAGGAATAAGATAGCACCAAGGTTTCAATCTCTGTGTGGTTAATCAGGCATATATGAAGAAATAAATCACAAATAGTAAAATGATGATACTTACCAACATCTAAATCATCTTTTCTAGGTCTTTGACTATAAGGAGTTGCTCTGTAAATAGTGTCTAATGCTTTTTCTTTAACTTGTGATATAGTATCACAGTCTAAAACTTTAACTGGAACATTTTCTGTGTTTGGGTCTAGCCCAGTGACAAAAACTGTCTGTTGTGAAATAGAAACATATACAGTCTGTAACAGTAACAAGAAAAAATATATTAAAATGTATGAGTGTAATATATAAATTATGATAATTATAGGATCCATTGAAAGAAAAAAAAAATTGTATTTTGCATTAAAAACGTCAAGATATGCTTAAAATTATGGCCATTTTAACTCACCATTGGTTTAAAATCAATAGATTGACGGATAAGTTTTTCTTCACTCAATGAGTACCTAGCTTCAGAAGTAATGACATCAACAGGACCCTTATCTACTTGATGTTTCATGGCTCGAAAAAGCATGTAAAGTGGTTCTCCTGCACATTCACGCAAGAATTTATAGAGCAGGAAGGTGAACCAAGCGGATAACATTTTTTCTGCTACACTTTCCGTTCTGAAATGTAAAATTGTATAATGAAATCAATCATTCATGTTTAGGAATTACAACTAAATAATCTTAACATGAAGCAAATTATTTTAATTCTCGATTTAAGCAAAAATTTAAAGCTTATGCTTGTTAGAATTGTTATCAAAATAATTCTAAAACTGATGTAAAATACTCTAAATATTATACAGCTGACAGGATATTAATAATTTCTTGAAAAGCACAACCCAAGTGTAAGAGGAAAAAAGTGAGCAAACTTGATTATTAAGAAAGACTTCATTACTGTCATAATGTGACATAAGTATGGTAAGCTATTTTTGCACAATCAGTATAACCAACCAAGCCATTAAAATACAGTCCACTGCATAAAAGTAGAATGTTGTCCAATAAAATTTGAATGTCGCCTATTAAGAACTAAGAGAGTTATTTGCCTTGCCTTAATTAAAAATTAGAAAATTCCTAAAAACTAGCAGAAAAAGAACAAGATAACGCAGATGTTCTTTTAATGTAACTAACAATAATTGATATGTTTGAGAAACAATAATACGAGTTAGAAAAGTATATATATTGATAAAAAAATTTGTTTTTGTTATGTTTATTATGATTTATTATTACTGATGTAAAAAATATTTTTTTAATTTCACTAACCGATATATGAAATACATAGTAAGAAAAGTATTGCAATTGTGAATATGAGTTTTCAATGAAAATACATGTTTCATGGTCCTCTGGACTCATTTTTATTGGTTATTACCAAGCCCTGCAAAAAGGACTGTGAATAGTTTACCTCAAAAATGAAAAGTTGTACAAAAATTAGATTATGTATTTAAGGCAGGTATACACCTCAGATGTTACAGAAACTTTTTTGTAGAATTCGACTCTCCAGAAATGGTATTTTAAACTATCGACTTTACTGTTTTTGCAAGTTTCTTGGAAACGGTTCTAACCACTTTGGTTAAACTTGTCATATTGATGTAAAATTAAATGGTCTTTAATATCATGTAGGTATTAACCTTACTAAAATAATCCGACAGGGCTTCTTCAATGCTTATTTTCATTTTTTTTTTTTTTTTGTTTAGAAATAATTAAAGGTCTCTCATTGTTAATAGTAATACAAAACAGGACAAATATTTTTGCTGGTTAAAAACAAATTTCTGAAAAAGAGAATAATAATATATATGCGTAATATACTATTAGAAAGCTAAACATTTTTTTTAAAAATCTAGAAATAATTAAAGGTCTCTCATTGTTAGTAGTAATACAAAACGGGACAAATATTTTTGCTGGTTAAAACCAAATTTCTGAAAAAGAGAAAGTGAGTGACAAAAAGCTAATGACTACTGTTCATGGATTATGTTATTTTAAAAAGACTTACTTTTAAAAGATTATTTTTATTATCTGATAGGTGCATGTTTTTAAACTTCTAAGTATTTCAACAAAGTAAAAAAAAATGACAATTAGTAAATTATGAAACTGAAATCATGGTATTAAAAGTAGTAATGTACAGTTTTCTAACCTTCGCAGCAGAAGTTTAGGGTGGCTTTTTCCTTCCATACATTTTTCAATTAGTTCAGCTAAAAGTGTTTTTAATATATCTGTACAATAATCCATTTTACTTTGTAATGTCACCATTATTAGGGACGCTACATTTACTCTGCAAATAGAAAAAAAATGTTAATACTTAAAACTAAAATAAAATTAGTATAATCGATTCTGATATATTGAAAATGAAATATGATGAATTACATTTGGACAGCAACTCATTCACCTTATCATAATATTATCAAAATTTATATTTTTTAAAGTTTATTTTTTAGTGTTTTATTTGAGCTGAAATTTGTTTTTGGCAGAAAAACAAATCACAATAAATCTATTAATATAATCAACAGAAAAATTTGACTATCAGACTAAGCAAATAACTGATTCTTGAACTGAGTTGTTTAAAATATTAAAAATCCATTCAATGAAAATAACATATTATTTCTCATATAATGCTGAATTTGAATGAAGAAAAAGTAGGGGTACTTTCATAAGTTTTTCAATATTTTGAAATGGTAATATATTAACTTTTAATTTAATAAGATTGCTTATTAAAATAATTTAACATACCTATCTCTCATAGAGAAATATCGGTTACTTTCAAGAGTTCTAATAAACAATAAAAGGAACGTCTTATTTAATATTAGAGATCCAAAAAAGCGTAAACCCTTCTCTTGTCTCATCAATTCTGGACGTTCCCACTGAAGAACAACATCTTCCATATTCGGAAACAAAGTTTTCAAAGCATAAGTTCTGTAATCTAGGAATGGAATACCTCCAGCAGTCAAATCTTGCGTCAAATCAGTCATTTCAGTTTGTAATTCAGCAAAAGCTAGAAAAAAAATATATACACTTATATATATATACATATATATATGAATATATTATTAACAAAAATCCATCCAAAATTAACAATTTTATTTATCTGGTAATTACAAATTTATTTACATAACGATATATTAATTATTTTTAGAAATAATACACGTTACTTTGTACTTAAACAATATTCTTTAAAGTCGTAGTGGGATCAATGTTTCTTTCTTACAACTTTTGCTACAGCGCTCAACGTTTCAATTTCATTCATGGTAAATTTGCCTTTATATATGAGCTTTCCCATTGTACCTAAGTTAGCTTGTTTATATATTTATATTATATATTCATAGATAAATTGAATATAATTACAAATATTGTTAAATATGATTTTTGTTTATTCACAATCACATATTTGAAAAAAAAAAATGTTGTTAATAGAAATTATGTTTTACTTACAAAATTAAATTTAAGAGATATGTTAAAAGTAAAATCTATATTAATTTTGAATTATTATAACTTAGATTTATTTTTAAATTATCAATGGTATATAGAGAAAGATTCCAAAATCTCATCTGATAAAAAAAAATTACACTAACAAATAAATATAATTCACGTTTATTACCTTCTTTACATTCCGCAGCTACTCGTAATTCTAAAATGTCCATTTGTTCTTGCATATTTTTCAGCACTCTATTACTTTCTGTTGATTTTCTCCTATATGCTACTAAGAAAACAACAAATATTACTAATAACAAAACAACAATAATCAAAACCCCTAATATTATAGGTTTGGTAAGGGGGCCAGTAAATTCGGCAGGAGAAGCATAGCTGAGCTTCCCAATAACATAACTTAATTCTCCTCCAACAATCACCTGAAAAATAATAATTATAATAAATAAAAGTTTTAAGTAATGGTAATGTTTTGATATAAGTAAAAAGTACTTACTATCACTTGAGGTAAGGTATCTTCTTCAGGGTTTGTGTTATCTTCAAGAACAGGAGGTTGCTCCACTGGAGGACGACAAGTAAGTTGTTGCCTTGATAATGATGTAACATTACAATAACTACTTCCTATACGAACAACTACATCCAGTTCCTGGCATGCTCTATCCAAATGCTGTCCCTAAAAAATAAAAAAAATAAGGATATGATAAAATCTATCCAACTGAATATAAGACCTTTATAATGAGGTTTGCTATTGTTAAATCTTGAATAAATAAAATTAGGAATATTGACTTAAAAGCTTACATTAATTGTCAAGTAATCGGATTTGTAGTACTTAATTTCTTCATCAAATGGCTCATACACTGGATTTGGATAGAGTAAAAAATTTCCATGTTGGGCAGATAGGTTCTGAACTCTAGAGACATTGTCCATTTTGAAGCCAAATTGAAGATTCTTAGGATATTCTGCATCAATTTCCAGATCTTTTGGAATGTTTATTTTGGGAGAGTGGCATAACATAGATGTATTCGAATGAGCAGTACAATTCTGAAATGTTTAAGTTGTCACATTAATGACTGATATAAAATAACTTATGTAAATAAACCAATTATTAAAATCATTTATGTAAACGATGCTTACACTCAGGTATATTTTGTCTTCATAGAACACATACATTTGTGGATTTAAAACACTATTTAAGTTTTTACCAGTTACAGATATTCGTATGCCCCCTGCTGGAATTCCTTTAGCTATTTTTATCTGTAACAAGATGTTTAGAATATTTAGAGTAATAATAACAACTATTATCAATAATTTTTTTTCAGAATGAATCACATATCTTATAGGAATAAGAGATATATATTGAGTGGTAAAACACTAAAATCAGCTATGAACAAGGTTAAGGAAATACAACTTGGATATTGGGTTCTATGGTCAGGGGATGGCTTGTTAACTGAATGGAAGTACACTATTTAATGATAGAATATCGGTGGCCATATATCAGGATTATTAGTTCAAAATTTTAATGATTAACATTCATTGTCCTGCAAAGTAAACAATGAAGTAAAATTAAAGCTCTATGCCTACCAAAATGCTGAATGATTAATGTAACAAAGAGATTTAAATTGAAAATTTATGGGCACTGCTAGAATTTAAAATCCGAAAATATTCTTATTCCTCTCGGAATGACTTAATAAATAACCTTAAAAAGACTTGGGAAGAAATTGGACCAGAGGAGGCCAAGAGGCTTGTGGAATCGATGCCAAGAAAACTGAATGTTGTAATAAAAGCAAAAGGGTACCCAACAAAATACAAAATTAATTGAGACTGATATTTTTTTTTTTTTTGGGTCAGTCAAATGTATGAATATTTTTTTTTGCGCTTCATATTAGAATATTTTTCATACAATATGAGTAATAAAATTTTATTTTTTTTGGACAATTAATGCAAAATAAAATTTCTAATTGTTATCTATAGTTGCTTCACGTTGAAAACATAAATAAAAAGATTTATGACTAAAAGATATGGTGTACGAATACTTTTTTTGGCCATTGTATATTATAAAAAGTTTATAAATGATTAATTTTAAACACCATAAAATTTCTGTTCCTTTAGATATAGATTATTCAGTATTAAAACAAAGTAAAAGAATGTATTTAGAGGGAAAAATCAATCTATATGTTGTCAGTAAAAATAATTTAATTTAAGGAGATTATCAGATAATTGATAAAAGTTAAAATAAAATCTACCTGTCCAGCTGTTACACCTGATTCAACAGAGTCAATTTCGGGATCTTCAATATACTCAAAAAATTTCTTGTCAAATGGCCTATCACCTTCATCAAATTTCATTTTTAAAGTACCTTTTCTTTGATGTTTGGATGCACTAGTAACACATACTGTTGAATTGGGTTCAGTTCTGAAATGAAATAGGTAATATTTTTTAATAAACATAATAATACATATAAAATTCATTAATAAATAAAAATGTATTTACTTAATGATTTGACAGGGTAGCTCATCAATAAATGCCCTGATTGAACTTCCTGCATTCATATATCTACCCATTATAGTAAGATGAGTTCCACCAGACATTGGACCAAAATTAGGAAAAATATCAGTAATATTAGGATCAACAAATTTATATTCTTGTTTTGAATTTCCTCGAAAATCTTCAACTTTTACAACTACAAGACCTCTTCTTAAATCTGGAGTGCCAGGTCCATCAACTCTGCAAACAATCTGCTTGGTTTTCTCATACAGCTCTTCATATGGTTCACATGGGATCCCAGCAACACTTACACCACTGTAAATATCTTTAAATGTTTTTCCTAGATTGATTCCTGTAATAGTGATGTTGGTGCCACCCTCCCAAGGTCCAAGCTGAGGTGAGAATGAAGTTACTTCAGGATTGGGGCAAGTAGTATTACGATTTAACCATACAGATCCTCCATTACGATCACATTGTTCTTGAACTTCACATCTATCAGAACTTTGACACCAACCACAACCAAATTTTTCTCCTAATGCTAAACACATTCCACAATTATCAGCCATATCACGGCAACGGTAAATGACAACTGAAACAAAACAATTTCATTTTTAAACACATACAATTAACAGATCATGAGTGCAGATAAATAAATAATTTTGACTGTACAGTGGAATATCGATGATCTAAGCTTTGATAATCCTAGTTATTTATTTTTTTTTTTTTTACCATTTTTTATCTTTTTTTAAAGTCTCTAAAATAAATAAATACAAAAAGGCTTAGGGAACCCAGAGATTTGAAGCTGCAATAGCTTTCTACATATCTCCATTCACTGACCATCATCCAAACCCAACCTCCCAAGATCAGCCTTATCACAAACCTCCCATCTCTCCTCCAGATACCATGATCCCATCATTATCAGCACAGCTTATATTAACCTTTTAGAGATTCATTCGAAACTAAGCCCATCAATTTTACATGCCCATTTTATTCACTGCAAAGGCACTACTTCAATTATATTAATCAGCTACAGTTTACACAATTTACTGTAGTTTAGCCATCTAAATCGTTGGTTCTCATTCTTTTTCGATCCAAATATTTTTTGCGATATTTTATATTCAAAAATTTTAAGGCATTGTTTATCCCTCTTTGTGTCATTCAATTTGGGTTATCGACACTCCACTGAAGATATTTAATCAGGAAAGACTTGAAAATAATGCAAACAAGTTGATTCTTACCATGAATATTGTCTGGATTGTCAAGGGGTTTGGAACCACCCCAAATAACAGCAAATGTTGCAGTAATGTTTGGAGCTCGAGATGTATATGAGAATTCCATAGGCTCACAATAAATAATATCTCCTAAAATATTCGCATTTACACTAGTGACCCGGCCTTCAATATTAAACTGGCAGACAAATCGTGTTTGAACAATAAATTGCTGAAACAATGAAACCATTAAATATTTAAATTTAAAAAAAATGAACAAGTAAATTAGAAAAATAAAAAAAATTAACTTACTCCAATAATATGCACTTTAACACGCAAGCCCTTTTTTACACCTGATGAAACTAAAATTTCAGTAGAACCACCCTGAGTAGCATTAATTGTGGGACAAAAACCAGGTCCACTGCGATAGCTTGGTCCAATTCTCTAAAGTAAATAAACATAATTTGAAATTATATCATGGATGATAAACAATAAATAAATTATGATCCTATTTTTGTGATGGATTATTTAATTTATCACCAGACTAAGAAATAAAAATATTTACAATATAAATACTTACACTAACACCAGTTACTAAAATATCATTACGACAATTTTCAGCAGTATCATGAGTGCATCTGTGTCCATCAACACACCAGTCACATGGAAAAGCAGACGACACACATTGAGTACATGAAATATAAGTGTTGCAGTCGAAAAACGTGAAGTTTGTCTCAACAAAATCTGGACCTGAAGTCATCCTGACAGACAATTTTGCAGTGAAATGATCTGAAACAAAATGCATTAGAAATTAGGAAAGCTTTTCAGGGATCAATTTAATAATAAGAAATAGTAAAATAAAAGAGTTTGAAATATGTCTCACAGTTTATTATAAGACTTAATATTTTGTAAAAGCTAAAATAATACTAAGGTGCAAACTAAGTCAGTGTGTTTTCTATTTATGTATAAAAATTTATAGTCGCTTCAACCAGAACAATTATTCTTCAAGATATAAGCTATAATAATTTATTACAAGAATCCATCACAGAGCCAGTTTGGCAGTTAGGCTAGTGATAAAGTTCATGATTACCTGAACAGTATTTGACATGCTACAATCTTTTAATAATAATGGCACAAGACAGCACAAATTTTGAGCCTAAACAAAGCCATTTCATATATTTTATAAAAGTTTGTTAAGCGTGTATATACATATATATTTATATGTGCGTTAACATAATTTAAAATAGTTATCTAATCCATAGGGAATTAGAAAGATTTAATAAACATAGTGTTTTTAAAGGAATAAAAACTCAATATTGTCATGTAATATCTTACGTTGCCCAGGCGGGATAGGTGGCAGAAGATCAGTCCTAGGTGTTGTACAGTTCACACCTGATGCTCCTGTAGCTTTTCGAGTAGCTGGAGTTGTAAGAGTTTTATCTAATGCAGTGAAGGCACATAAAAACTGCCCGGAAAGTGAAGGAAGATTTTCAATCACTAAATCAAGCTGTAAAAAAAAATTAAATCAAATAAATCAAGATAACAGTTATATTTAAAGTAAATATAGATTTAAAAGAACATTAAAAAAATTAAATTGAATCAAAGGCATTCTTAACCCAAACAATTGAACAATTTTATCAATACATTATTATATTTCCATTTTTCAAATATATTTAAGCTTATCTTTCAATGCTTAAGTAATAAAATAATATGCATTAAATTTTTCTAGAAAAAGATACATTTTTAAAAATAAAATACTTTATTCACAGATATTTTATGAAAAAAATTAATTAATAATTACCGTTCTTGCTGTTGTTCTTTGTATTTGATAAGGTGCAACTGAAGTGATGGTGGTACATTTACCACTTTTATAAGAAATCCAATACAGAACGTCCTTTCCAGCATCCTGGCAATCACTCTTTAAGCTGCATCTGTTGAAAATATTATTAAATTGATAAATAGCTATTTAAAAAATAAATTTAATTCAACAAAATAAAATAAAATAGTAAGGTAGTGTAAGCTAGAAACAATACTATCAAATGTTTTTGTGGATTTCAATAACAACACTAAACTTAAACTAATTTGTGAACTTGATCTATTTTAAATACAAAAATATTACTTATTTTCCAGTGAACACCATCCACAGTATGGGTCTTTGGCTCCAAGGCAATCCAAACAAGTATTATAAACACTGCAGTCCTGAACCTTGACTTTGGCAACCTAATGAAAAAAACATGATGTTAATGTTATTTTATTTTAATTTTTACATTAAGCTGTACAAAAAACAGAATATATTGATTGTTGACTAATTTTACCAACCTGTCTTTCTGTCATTACATACAAATGCATCATTTGAGAATCAAAGTGTAAATCAGCATTTACAGGAGAATTTTCATTAACCAGATCATTGCCATATTCTATAGCAGATGTTGAACTTTCTACGACAACCTATAAAAATAAGAATACTAATATAAATATAAATTATAAGTAAAGAAATTGAAGCGTTGAATATCAGAAATTTCTGAAAATCACTGAAATATTAAAAAGATTAAACCATTATAATAAGTGTATGAAGATAGATAGTAAACAGAGAAGTATAATTTCTCACTATCATGATTTTGTTTTTCTATAATTTGTCGATATATACTTTTTAAGTAGCTACTTAGTAATTACGTGGCTAAATGGTACCCATCCATTTAAGAATTAGGAAAAATACTCAGAATCTAACTTTCTCCATGATTATTATTCACTGATATGAACCACATCACAAAGGCAGCCAGATTTACTATAAACAGTAAATAATTACAAGTATCTCAGTTAAGAGTTTAACTATAACTTAAAGAATACAATAATACCATCATAATTTCGTATTAGGTCTGTCTATCACAAACGGTTTCATCAATAAATCCTAATCAAAGAACTAAACAGTATTTCATTTAGCCATGTGATAAGGGGAATTTAATAATAAAAAATGATTTTGATGCAACGATCTACTAGACAGAATTCATCTAACTATATTGTGAGTCATCGAAGAGCTAAAAAGATATTATTTTAAATGCAGAAAAAGGAATATTTGAAAAACCAGATAGAAAGGATCGAGGAACTAAAGACCAATAATGAAACAAGGAAATTTTATGGAACGGTTAGATACATTAATTGAGGCTTCCAGCCAAAGACTGATACCTGCAAAGACAAAAATGGAAATTTTACTGAAAGAAAGGCGAAGGCAATAGACAGGTAGGTGAAATCCTTCGGCGAAAATTTGAATTAAGAGACTAACTCAAAGCCCAGTTTACATTCTTTTCTAAAGAATGATGAAAATGATTTAGGGCCACCCAATATGGAAGGCTTTTTAAAACCGATTGAAAAGCTTAAGAACAACAAAGTGCCTGATGAAGATGCTATTGTTGCTAAATTCTTCAAAAATGCAGATGAAACTGTAATAAATCAATTATATTTTTATGGTGCCAAAACTTGGACTCTTACCGCTTTGATGAACACTAACCTGAGAATTTTCGAACAGAAAATATTGAGCAAGATTTATGGACCAGTTTGACAATGAATCCAAAACATGGAGGATCCATGGTAATGAAGAGCTCTATTCCCTTTAAAGACACCAATACGGTCCAATTCATAAAGTCATGTCACATCGAATAGTTAGCCCACATAACAAGGATGCCCGTCAGTAGAATGCCGAGCGGGTTACTACATGGTAAAATTATTGGAAAAAGAAGATTTGGTCGACCACACAGACGATGGATGCTGGACTAGGAAGAAGATCTCAAAGCACTGAGTGTAAGAGAAGGCACGGGACCGTGAGGAATGGAGCCGAATTGCTAGGGAAGCCAAAGGCCAACCCCAGGCTGTAGAGCTGCAGAGTAAGTAAGTAAGTAATAATAAAAAAGGGGGAAGTGGAAGCTGTTAAGATATTTTGGGTAAAATATTTGTTGATTGAACCTAAGCCTACATAAATTATGTAATTAATCTTAATACAAAATGATCAAATTAGCATTGTTGTTGTCATATACCCTATTCCCACAGGCGGATTTACGGGGGGGGGGGCTTTCGGGCTGAAGCCCCCCAAAATGGTAAAATATAACCATGTTTATAGAAAAAAAAAAATTAAAAATTATGTCTTTTAAGATAAAGTATTATTGTTCATGTAATTACATTCAATATGACTTCAAAAATCACTAAGAGACCATGCCATATGGGTAGTTAGTTTATTTATTTCTTTTTCAAATTAATTATCGTTATATATATATATATGAAAAAAAAAAAATCCTTCGGGCTGAAGCCCCCCCAAAATTAAATTCTGGATCCGCTAGTGCCTATTCCTAAGAACCTATCGTACTGGTGAACTACTGAAATGTTTTCAATGAAACCTTAAATGTACATAATGGTTACTTCAAAGTTGAGGGGAAAATTCCATCTAAATAGAAATTAATGGTAATAAGAATGGAAAACTGAGGTAAACATTACTTAAGGAAATATTTAAATTTATGTGTACAAGTATTATTTTTTATTAAAATTTAGTCATCATTCATTAGAAAAAAAAAACTAGTTAAAATAAAAATAGGATTAATAAGCAACAACTTGCAGTATAAATGAGGCCCAGAAATATCAAACTATGATGTTTAGTTATAGAACTAACTTAATTAGCGCATTTGCCACAAATAAATCTGGAAAATAAGTAAGACAGGGAAGAAAAAGGATAAACCAATTTATTAACAGTAAAAATTGGCTCTGATGACTAGATGACAGCTTTACCTAAAAATAATATTTTTATATAAAAATACACATTTGGAAATTGTCAATAGATATATTAATTTATTTCCTTGAAAGGTAAATGAAAATCTACTTAACACTAATAAGAAACCTTGTTCCACTGTTGCTTCCAACAATGATAAAAGATGATGAGTAAATTCCTTAAGGCTAAAAATTAAAGATATTTAGGTATTACTTGGCTCATGGGTCTGATTAATCATGAATTTACAATTCACTCTAACCAACTCTTTTATATAATAATTAATTTACTTATAGTTGATATTGAATTTCATTAAATTTATAATAAATTAATTCCAATTGTATATAATTTCATTTTGTGAACCACTATTACTATTTATTATAAAAATAACTTTGGAAATACTAACATAATTTAAAAGAAAATATTAACAAATATTTTATTCATTGGATCATACATTTAAGAAGAAGATGTTTATTATTTCTATGAATATTGATAATTTTTCTAGCAGAAATAAGTAACCAGGTTTGGGTTAAAGGAACTATATCCTTTAATTCTTCATTTTAAGTTGTTTGGTACAATACAATCTTATAACCCAGCAGATGAGGATGAAGCATATGCAACAAGTGAAGTTTTATTTTCATTCGAAAAATGGATAAAGCACATTTTATTAACTTTGTATATTTTATCACATTCAATTTAACCTATTAAACAGGACTAATGATTACACAGTAATTACGCTAAATTCTATCAAGAAGAACCGGTTCTATTGGTTTCTAAACAGACTTATAAAAACATTACCTTTTTTAGACGGCCATTTGCTGTACCAAGGAATACTACAGTATAATCTCCAGTAGAAGTAGCTGCAACTGCTGTAAGATGCTGATTTACTAACAGTACAGGAACTACTGTCATTGGCGTTTCTCCTCCAAGAGGTGTATTGACATCCAGACCGCAGAAATCCTCACCAATTGTTTGTAATTTCTGAAAAAAACAAAACAAACGAACATATATAATAGTGAACTAAGAAGTAAAAATGTATGGTTTATTTAATACTATTATTGTACCCACATTACGATATAAACAGAACATACATAGTAAAACAAGCATACCTACAATTGACATAAAACTGAATTTTATAACTTTATTAGGAATACAAAAAAATTAAATGAAAAAAATCTGAAATTTATCCCAATGACTGTCTTTCCAAAAATATGAAATAAAGGACGTTTCTATTATATTAAAAAAAAATCTAAAATAATATATAATATGTAATAATATATATATTTATTGTCATTGTGAAATGATATGAGGTACATTACAAGGAAAACATTTTCATAAATAAAAGCTGAAATTAGACACCTTTCTCAATGTAAAACATGGTGAAGATTGATTTTTTTTAATCAGAAAATTAAAGTTAAAATAATAAAATTGTGGGACACACAATAGTTTAAAAGTTTACTTTATTTTTCTTAATTAATTAATTTGTTGAAACGATTTATTTGGTTCCACAAGCTACATCACATAACTAAGAATTTCATAAGAGTAAAAATCTCTTTATTTGTATTCCTTTAATTGTGAGAACTAAATTATGGGTATTTAAATTTGTACATATTTTCGAAATAATATCCTTAATTTTTTTATTTCAAATTTATAAGAGAATATATATAGTGTTTGTTGTATTATAACTAGAAATCTGCTTTCTAAGATGTTAGAGATACAAGCACGAAAGTAAATACATACATCTTTGGAATAATCCAACTAAGAGGAAACAACCTCAACGTTCGGGAGTTGCCGTTATTTCTACACAGTGCATGCAATGAAAGGATAACATTACATTAATTAGAGATCTGCCTGTTAGCGAAGCAGACGTGAATGAAGGAAGACAACAAAGCATAATCAAAAGCAAACCAAGATAACAGCTCCTTTACCGTCATTTCCAGTCAGTAAAGCTCAGATAAGACTTCCATCATCCGATCCCATGTTAATTCCGGAAGGGGCCTGCTGAATACAATGCAATACGTCTTACAAAGACGGGCTCAGGTGTTGGGCAAATTGAAGAGGCGGTGGAGGTCTTCATTAGGATATGCCTTAAACCTCCGCCCCCTTCGGGCAGATGGTCTTGACAGCCGAACAACAGAAGAGATCCTGGATAATTAACAGCTATTAACAGGAGTGATGAAAATTACGGACAAATCATAAGTGGCTGTGAAGAGGCTTATATTCTCGAGGTAGCGAACAGGTTACGGGGATCTCATAAACAAAAGGAAAATAAAATAAGAGATGTGATTTCGAATATATAAACACAAAATGTTTTTAAAAAATCTGGTGCACGTAACACAAAACTTTCACTTAACCCACTATTTTGAATAGAAATTATTTTCTAGAAATGTTCGACCATTATAAAATTTTTGAAGTGCATTTTAAACGGAGCTAAAGATAAAAGCTCACAGATAACAAATCATTAAGACCATTCAAATTAAAAATGTCTATTTATTATTTTGACAGTGAGCAATAAAAACCTAGTTTTATAAACAACATAGCTGTAGTCTCTGAGCTTTTCAGTTGGCAGAATGACTAACTCCGAATAGAAAGAAATACAATTATTTCGAAAATGAACAAGACTTAAGAGAGATAGATTTCTTGATTCGTCTTTATTGTCTTAGGGACTAAGACTATAGTCTAAGACCCTTTCTTACAGACAAAAATACAGTAGAATTTTATATTTAACAATTTATAAGAGAGGTTACTATCATAAATTACATTGTTTTTACTAGCTGATCCGGGAGTGCCCAGAAGAGAATTTCTTGGCGCAAGTTGCGCCATCAAAATTTATGGGAGGGGGGGGGCACATTTTGACGACGCATTCAATTTTTGAAGGAGGCACATTTCGAAGGGATTTTGAATTTTCAAAATGAAAAGTTTCAAATCAAAAGACAAGTCGAAGCATGAAACAGGCCGCAAGATGTATATATAATCTACGAATATTTAAGTTCTACTTTCGTTTGCATTGTTTTTAAGAAGCAGAGAGGAATAAAATATCTTGGGAAGGGCGGAGGAAGGTTTATGCGCCATCGGCCCTTGGGAGGGAGAGATGGGTACACCTGAGCTTATCTACGAATACTTCGATACTTGGCAGCGATCTCTGACAGACCATATTGCTGTGGGAAGTGCTCTTCATGCTTTGCTTTGTAAAGGATTATGTAAACAACTATGGTACAACAGGAAATGGAATCGCGATCGATGGTTACAAAAGAAAAAATAATGGACATAATTGAATCAAACAAACGCTCAAATGATGTTTATGTATATATATATATCCCACATTTTATCGGGAAACTAACCAACAGATTTTATTTTACGAGACTAGCAGCAATTGCTTAAATTTTGTGGATGAGCGATATACGGAAGGGAAAGACAAGAGAAATGAGAGAGGATAGTCAATAATCCGGAATATCGAAAGGAGGAGGGGTCGATCCCTATGGGATTGTACTGATCCGATTAGAGGCGCCCAGTTCCATCAGTTCTTACCCGTAAGTACCGGCGTCGAAGGGGGGGGGGAGGAGGAGGGACGGATCCAAGAAACTACCGATCAACAAAGAAAATCGGTTAAGTAAATACATAGAAGAAATAAGATGAGACGTACGATAAGGGAAGAAGGACATGAATATACATTAAAAATGGACCGATAAAATAACTTTATTTGTTAAAAAAACGCTCTAAATAAATACCTATGAACATTATGCATTAATTTTAAATTCTGGCATAACCAGTAAAGTATGAAATTTGTATAACAAAAAAGAACAAGTAAGGAGAAAAACGTCGGTTCGTTATATATACTCACACGTACGCACACACATAACTAAAGCAGATTGATATATAAATTGGCATTATAATGATATATTTTATTATTATTATTTATTATTAATGATATGTTACTAAATGTTTTTTTCGCAGGTCAAAAGTGGATATTAGACAATACCTCTTATATTTTATCTATATTTATTAAACTTTGCGCAGTGGAATAGGATTTTATATAGACTGTCAGAGATAAAATTGTTACATCTATTGTAATGTGCATTTATCTTGAGCGATAAAGTTTTATTTTCCATATTATGTTTAATTTTTTTGTTGACATAACTTTTAGTTAACTGACGAATCTTAATAGTTTTTTTAAGTCGACCCTTCAGCAAGTCGCTTTTTGGACTAAATATGTCAAAATTTGATATTAATATATAGGATTAAGGTCTGTTGGAGTTTGAAGAGCTACTTATATCAGGGAGAGGCTATGGTTTTTCAGTTTTCTACACACTATGGTAGAAAAATAATATAACACCCTCCCTTCCATAAATTCAGTCAAAGTCATAAGATAAGACAAACACTCCCAAGTATCTTTCGGCTTGATCCCTAGGTTCAGAGTCAATTATCTTTTTATTTATTTGTTTCATAACTAGTGGAACCTTCTGTATGCTCAGGTTTAGATAAGAAGTATGCTAATCATTAAATGATATTTAACGTAGTGCGTTAAATCTAAAAAAGAGTGCTACCATTGGGTAGTTATTCAGCAAGTGTTTTTCATGTCATCATATACATTATGTTCTAATTTACTAGATGTATTTATTTAATACAGTTGTAAATGTCTTTAAGAAATAAAAAAAAAAATCTAAAAACCATAAAGCGTTGCTTTTCTCACAAGGTACTCTGCATCGGCAAAGAACATAAGAAAGTAAAATAGTTTCTTGTGCCCACAATATATTTTATTTTAAGATATTATTTTTTACCAACTTCCATCAACGTTGTATCCACTTTTATGGCATTTTCATCCAAAAATTTAATCATATTTTAACCAAAACAAGTTAAAATAAAAAATAACGAAAACACAAACAAATTAATCAATGAACGCAACACACACACACCACACACACACACTATGTATATATTTATAAAAACGATAAAAACAGTTGTACGTTGAAAAACTGTTCTTTCGGCTAGTTATAACACAACTTCCTCTTGGTCAACGTACCGTAATTCCTAGCGTGACTTATTGTGCTGATGGGCTATATTAACAATGATAATAAGTTCATTGTAGTTGTTTGTGGGGCTTTGTTCGTAATAGCAACATCTGGACGAAATGTATTTAGCCGGTGGTATCCGAATTGGTTTACAGAAGACATAGTTTGTTAAAGTCGGATGACAAAAACATAAAGTAACTACTACAAAAATGAATGAAGGGTTCTATTCCAAGGGCCTTCAATGCTGAATAAGAATGGGAGTAGTGTTTCGCTTAATTTTTGGGAGAAGAAGTTTATCTCAAAAAAGAAATATTCTTTAAGAATACAAAAAAAAAAAAAAAAAAAAAAAAAAAAAAAAAAATAGAGTCACAAATATGATATAACCTAATTTCGCGACTTTAATCCGTCGGGAACTTATATGATCATCTCAATTTTCCTCAAGTTCTCGCTCTCATAACTTCCAAAGTTTCATTAAACTTAAACGCATTTGACAAATCACTATGCAGCACCATTTTTCGTTGAAATCTTTCACGAAGGTTAAATAGCTGTTTGTACAAAGTATATCATTTCCATACAGTGACCAAATTCATATCTCACGGCCTAGACGTCTTTGAGATTCATGATGGAAACTAAAGGAATACGGAATTTAAAAGGCACAGTAGGAAATGCTGCAGTAAATATAGGTCTAGTGTGAAAACGTTCTTCCGTATTTTGTACTGTAGAAAACAGGAAGGTTTTATTTCTGTCCGGTAAAATTCTTAGCTGTGGAAAGCAAAACTGGCTTTAACAGCAACAAGGCTTGTAATCCAAACTTTCAAGGCTGAGCTCTGGTACTAAATAAGAAGATGAAACCCCTCCCATATAAGCGTGTGTGTGTGTGTTGTAACCAAGATTAAGAAAGCTTTGGAAAACATAGAACTTTTTGTTTCTTTTGTTTTCTTGGGACTAATTATTAATTCCTATTTTAGCATGTGCATGAGCTCTGCACTATTGTTTTCTTGTACGTTTAGATGTGGCATGCCATACCATTGTACATAGAATAAGTATCTTTTTTGTTTTTTCTATTATCTTAAGTATCTTCCTATTCATCTTTAAATTGTATATAGTAATTTTGGTTTAATACTTTTACTTGCACATAGTATTCTGTAAATATTTTTGTAAAAAGATCTCTTAACTTGAAATATCTTTGTTTGCCGCTTTATAAAAAAAATCCAACCTAACCACTCACCACCTGAGCATGGTAGCATAAATGTTTTATTATGGCCAATAATGGGTAAGTACCTTATATTATCTATATTTAATATCTTTAAAGATTAAAGACTAGTAAAGCAAGGCGCCCAACGAGTAAAAATTCCAATAGCAAATTACATTTATTAAAAATGATTTCATTATTTATCCTTTTTTTTTTTTTGTCATAGCGCGTGTGCGTGTGTAAATGATAGAGGTAAGGATTGTCTAAATAATACGCAAGGATGCAAACGAAGTTCAATTTTCGTAACAGTATTTATGGCAGAACTAAGTATATACACATACAAGTGGTTTTCAGATATTTAAATACATGATAAATTTGCAAAACAATTATTTTTGGGACTTAACATACCAAGGTTCTAGATCAATACGAAATAACGATCTTTGGGGCCCTTAGAAGGAGCTCCAATTAATCTACGGCGATACAAAAGGTCATAATACTTTGTTGAGCGCCAATCGGAGGGGCCCCAAAAATTTGGGGAAATAGAGGAATACAAAACAATAATCTTCGAGCCCTTAGAGCTAGCCCTCAATTATTCTACTGCCATAAATCGGTAGAAAACATTTATGTTGGGGCCCCATCGTAGGAGCCCCAAATATTTGAGAAATTTCGACAAACGGTGCGAAACATACCACGGCACTAACAAAATAACGATATAGGGGTCCCCTAATCATTCTAAGGCAAAACAGTAAAAATATTTTGATGTTGGGGCCCCATTGAAGGGGCCCCAAAATGATAAAACAGTTATTTTGGGCGGGCCCCTTGGCTCGGGGGCCCTCGGCGATTTCCGACAAACCGACATGGCCTGCCATAAATTAAAAGAATGTAGATCCATTAGTTTGAAATGATCATAACATGTCAATATGTCGTACTTTAACCTTTTCTTGAATTACTGACACACAGGTATATAGTTTAAAAACTTTACTGAAATTGGAACATAAATTACTGTGACGCGTTTGTATATGGAGGACTTCTAGCTCACAATATAAATATTTTTAAATAAAATTAAAAATCGCATGCCCGGTTGCTATAAATGGCTTCTAAAAGGTACTTACGACCTCTTCTCTAACGTCTCCTCTTATAATTACATCCTTGTCCACAAAGCCAGTAGGTCTTCGATAAACTGCTGGAAGCGGTGGCTAGGGAATACCGCTCAGCCATCCTAAGGGAACCATCCGACAACTCCCCGACCCAAGCGATCATTTGCAGTCCCAATTCGGAGTTGCGAGTACACTGAGCGTTATTCTTGATGTTAAATAAGGAATGCGCAATAAAGTTCATTGCTGCTCTCCATTAGCTAATACGCATCCGAAAGAGGCATATAAGAACTTTTTCTTTTAACCACTCCTTATGATAAAACGGCAAAGGAATAAAGGATCTCGAAGACGCCCCCGGGCTCTGACTATCTTGTTTTATTAGAAAGATGAGATATTCCAATAACCTGCCTCTTCACTACGATGCCATGCTTCTTCAGGCCAATTGAATTCTTCAAAAAACGGAGTTATTCAAAACGGAACTAATTGGGAAAGTTAATTTTAATCCCACACACATTTTTTTAATTTTTTTTTAATACTTTTATTATGATATTTACAACTGTATTAGTATGAATACATCAAGTAAATGTACAGAGGAATAAAATAACATGAAACACGCTTGTTGAGAAACTACCCATTGGTAGTACTCTAATAGTTTGTCTAGATGAGGAGATCACGAGGCCATCTTCTTTTCAGAGCCTCAAGGGTTATCAGGAATCGAAGAGGAAGCAAGGTTAGAAACAAGAGGATTCGGATGGTTATGAAGTTTATTATGGAAGGATAGGTATCTGGATTCACACACACATTTAAACATGAAATGTTATTGCCTTCCTTGCTTACCTATAAAATATATAGAAAGGGAATGTATTTCGAAAGCTAAATTACTATAAATAGTATATACTTATATATATGTATGTAATAGTAATTGTATTGAAGAAAATTCTTAATGCTGGGACAGATTCTCGAAACGTTCAGTATGAAACCAAGTTATTACACAAATAAAGCGATTACACAAGGAGGAATTTTGAAAAACTAAAAAGACATAAATTAAGATTAAAATAAGAAGCACTAACAATTTTAAATGGATGGAAATAAACTTTTTTTTTTTTAAGAATATTCCACCAATGTATTTAATTGTAGTGGTCAATAACAAAACTCGATGAAGGAAAACAAATTATTGAAAATAATTTACCAAAACACAGGGAATTGATCACATTGCAAACTGCTTATAACTTAGACAAAGTAACCATTACAAATAGGGAACATGTATAGAAGGTATAGGCTGCACCTCATCTACATATGAAGTGATGGCAATGTCATTTGGTATCAGTCTTGAGCCCGTTGGGAAATCTCATGTGCCAAGGGAACGAAATGTAACATATGCAACCGGCTTAAGGGACATGTATCTGTCTACATGTCCAATAGGGACAGCTATAGTTGAACGACGATTCTGAATTCTGTACAAATGAGAAGTGAGAAAGATACCAGAAAAAGAATGATTCGTATAACTGATATAACCACGAAAATGGAACATTTAGTGAAACTGATATTGTTTTCAAAAATGAAAAATCCATATTTTTTTTAATCGATTTTAATAATAATTGAACCCTGACTTACAAAAACAGTAAATAAATACGAATGATATACAACATAAACGTTTGAGTAAAAACACATTAGTGGTCCTCTTATGAACCAAGGTTCAAGGGGCCTTTTATGTAGAAATAATAGAAATATATATACACATATTTCTATTTTCTTTAGAAACAGACCTTTGGCCGCCAGAACCAGCTTTTTTCCATCTCTGCCTACCTTGAGCTTCCAGTTTGCTCTGCAGCAAGTTTGTTGATCTATCCTTTTTTGCCTTCTACAAGTTTTTTTTTTTTTTCGCTATCTATTGTGCCATTCATTGTTGTTTGGAGTATTCCTGATGGATTGCTTCAAACTACATGCCCTGCCCATCTTAATTCCCTTGCATTCATATCATGATATAGACTGACCAGTTTTTGTAAGGTATTCTTTATTGGTATTTCTGCTCCATCTGTTCGAACTCTGAAACCAGATTTCTCTCGCTGTGGAGGAATCGCCTCTCCACAATTTTTTAAATAGCTATAGTGTATTTTTGAAGGACTTCGTTAGAAGTATACATTCGAATATTTGACAAGCACACCGGCTCACCTAGGGACGAAAAGCTTTCTTCTTTAGAGCCTTTACGTCCAGCAATTTATACAAATATTCAGAACTTCCCAAAACATCAAGTATTACAAACTAGTACAGAATTAGTTCAACTGGAAAATATTTTTTCAGTTTAAATATACCTCAAAAGCATCTATAAAGAGACATCATCACCATCTGAAGAGTGAATATTACAGGAACCATAAAAATGCATTTTCATAAATTCATGACTGGAGGCAATTGATTCAAATTTATTTGGGTAAAAAAACATGACTTAATCACTTGATATCATTGAGATGTTCTGTCGTATTCTTATTCAAAAGAATCTGTAAATCGATGTTGAGACATTGAGGACTTCAACTTGAATTTGAAAAAAAAAGTCCATCTTTTTTGCCTATACCCCGGGAAAAGAACGTTTCGTCCAACTGTGTAACAATTGTGATATTTCTGATCTTATTAGACAAATTCTAAGTATATGTATCACATTTCTTTTTTAGATAATTCTATTTTTGGATTGTACGTAATGGGATTTAAAAATAAAAATAAATATTAAACAATACAAGAATTTTAAAGAAAATAATTTAAAAAATGTTTTCTTGAAAAGTGAGTATAAGGATAACAAAGCAGTTAAACCGGAATACGTTTTATATCATATTCCTCACCGAAGAGAGATTTTTAAACAAAAATGAGTCACAGGTGGTAAGGAAAATTTATATATATATATGTCAGTATTGAATAGAACAATAATTTAATGAATGTGTTATAAAAGTTTAAATAAACGGCTTAACGTCGTAGGTACTTGATCAATTTTATGATTATAAAAGGCTGATAACTTCCAGCACGCTGGCGGAAAAAAACCCGTACTTAACAAAAGACTCACGAGCTATTTTCGGTTCAGCGATTAACTATGCTTCGCTAAACCTTAAACGTAATTAAAAATGCCGTAATAAAATATAAATTCTTTTAACAATTTTTTTAAATAGGGACGGTTTAGCGGAATATTTCTGGATAGGATATTTTCAATATATTTACGAACTGTAAAAAAACAGATGAATAGAGAAATTTAAAAATACGAACCGTTCATCAATCGAATCAATAAATAAAAACGTTAAGTTTCCCTCAAAATTGACGAAAATTCTTCAATATAGAGTTATAATAAATTATCTGAACTTTAAATAAGCCTAACGACAATAGTTAAAATTATCCATTAAGATACAAATATCAGTATTCATATCAAAACAATTCGTGCTAAACTATTCAGTTACATTATAACCCATGAAATTCAATGCTGGGTTATGCAAAAGAAATTAAAAATAAGTCTGGTTTCTAGAGTTTTTTTGTTGTTGTTATCTGTTTGTTGTATTTTGTTGTTATATTGTATATGTTTGTTTCGTTATTTTTATTTTTTTAACCCTCGAAATTGCGTCACAGATGGAAATTATATACAAAATCATAATAGAGTAACATGATACTTTATGGATTGGTTCACAAAGGGAATCACAACCAATATTGAGGAAATGTAACTTCGCTATTGCACCACACTTATATATGCATTTTTTTCTTTCTGAATTTTTATTTTTGATTAGCTATGTAATTTTTTTTTGATTATGTAAATATGTAATTTAATGTATAGCCACACTGGCATTTACTCCGTATTAGTAACTTATTCTAAATGGACAACACTTCCAGAATAATAAAAGGTATTTTCATTTCATTTCACATCCACACATTTTCTGATGAGTAGAGCATTCCTACCAAGCAGTTTGGAGAGCCTGCAGACATTTCATTCCACTAATATCAAATAAACGTTGTACTAGTTGGACTTTCAGAGACCATTATAAAGTTCTGACAGAACCATTGAATTACCCTCCAGATCAGCATCAAAGCTCTCTCTATTTCAGTTCCTGCAATGCGACCTTTTGGAAACAGCTTAGAGTGGAGTTGTTTGAGTCAAGCAACATCTTGTTTTATCTGCAATAGCCGTTTTGATTTTCCTTTTGGCAAAGCTTAGGATTACTCCACAGGGCTTAGTTCAATCAGGATCAAGTTCATAGAGCTTTCTGCCCAGTCGTTTTGCCCTTTCATTCCCCAGTATTTCAGAGTGGTCATGCACTAGTCCAATGATATAAGCATAAAGTTATACCGGTTCTGTGCATTGAAGCAATGGCGCATAATTTGGTGCTTTATTCAAGTAGCTTAGTTTTGCTTATAACCGCTTTCTTAAGAATCATTAAAAAAAAATGAATAAATAATGTATTCAAAATAATATTCCTTAATACATGTGTGGATAAATCAAGGATTGAAGAAAATTATGAATGGCAAAAGAGACATATGCACAAAAAAAAATTATACACAAAATATAAAAAGGAAATTAAGTAAAAATAAATTTATATTATTGATAAGAAACTATAAGTTAATTAATAAGAATTATAATAGTGGTGTTAAGAATGGGATTTCAAACTAACCTAAGATAAAGAAGATATCCTAGTAAATGTAATTAAATTATCTAAAATTAATTTAATTTAATTAAAATTACTTTTTCCCAACATTATTTTATTCAATATATATATATTATAAAAAGTAATTTTATGGACATAAAGAAGGTCCATAGTTGGGCTGAAACGTCGTACAGTGGTCCCAAATGGTGAAAAAGTGGACATATATAATTTTTTACGTTCTTTTCTGGACTAAAACTACCTATACCCAATCAAAGCTACAGGTCTACGTTATCCAGAGCGCAAAAATAAATTGTACGCTCGTGAGTCTAATTGAAATAATGAAAAACGTGTAGGAAAGGGGCTGTACTTGGCTAACCAATAATTTAAGTTTTCGCTAAATTATTACAAAATCTTTTTTTACTTCCATTTTTTAGACGATTGAAATACGCGTCTATTGAGCGAAATAACATTTATTTTGTTCATCGAGAACCATTTCAAATTTGAGATAATTTTGAAAGTTCCTGAGCAATTCTGCGCATTTGCTCCACTGCGATTGTTC